CCACAGGTGCATAGTATCACATCACTGAGACCAGGAAAGAAATGTATGTAGAGTTGTCTGAGCTACGGTCTGATGAACCAGCACCCTCTGTCAACAAGTGGTCGGTAATCCGCTCTCATTCTGCGTGGCTGGGCACATAACCTCTACCGTCCATTTGTAAAACCAACAGACGGTCATGGAACTGGTTTCCTCTCTTTGTTGGAAACGGCAAATGTCATGGAAAGGTGATATATTTGCCCCAGTCTGAGAGGGTCAGATAGCTATAACCCAAGACCAGATGAAAGGGATCCTAACCACCAAGGAAGAGACCTAAAGGAAAGTGTTCACGTGACTCACATCCCACAGTAGGGAAGAGTCTATGGCTTCTTGCTCTGTTTCCACAGAGCCTGCCAAGTACTTCTGCGATGTACTTAACTTCTTACATCCCTTCGCTTGAATGTGTTGCTAATGTTTTCGCTGGGGAAGTTGGCCACTTACTAGCTCCAGGCCCCACAATCGGCAGCTTGTCTTCAATTTGTCTCACTGCTTTTGTCTGAGGACTGAACTCTGAACCTGTGCACGCACTCACTCCTTCAAGCCCCTTCTACAGCAGCGGCCAGGGAGAACTTTATAACAGAGACTTCCAAGGCCCTCAGGAGACACTGTCTGCCTTGAGAACTCTGCAGCCATTTCTTCTCATGTCTATACATTGTCTCCACATTCAAGGTGCACAAAGCCCAGGGCTTAACAGCACAGAGAAGCTGAATCTCTCAACCCACCACATGAATTTTCATTTTCTGTGGTTGGGGGTGTTCTCCAAACTGGCACTTGCCCATCACACACATTTGCACCTGGAAAAGATAACACAGCCCAGCTCGGTACTTATCCTCTCTGTCCTTTTAGAAAAGCCAGATGTGAGGGGCTCATCACAATGTGAGTCTTAGCTTGTCAAGAGATTTGTCATGTCACAGCAGACAAGCATCAACCTGTCCTTTCTCTCGCTGTGTCCCCAAACCTTAAGTTGAACCATATGAAACTGTACTTTTTGTAGGTCAAGAAAGATCAAGCCGGGCTCGGTGGCTCAGCCTGTAATCCTGCGCCTTTGGGAGGCTGAGGTGAGTGGATTGCCTGAGCCCGCGGGTTTGAGACCCACCTGGGCAACTTGGCCAGACCTCATCTCTACAATAAATCAAAAAATTAGCCGGGCGTGGTAGCACTCGCCTGTAGTTCCAGCTACTCAGAAGGCTGAGGTGGAAGGATCGCTGGAGCCCAGCAGGTCGAGGCTGCGGTGGCCAGGAGTGGCCACTGCACTCCAGTCTGGGCGACAGAGTGAGACTCCAACTCAAAAAAAAAAAAAAAAGATCAAATATTGCCAGTTTCATATGGTGCATCTAAATATGAAGGATCAATAAGAATTAACACATATGAAGTGGCTTCTATGTCCCAGGTTCAACGTGGAGACTTTACCTACACTGCCTCTCTTGATTTTCACTTATGACATCATGTCAAGGTGTTAGTGTTAGCCCCATTTTACAGATGAGACGATGGTGTTTCCCAAAGGTTGAAGAAAGAGCCCGTAGGCTTGCTGGGGACAGCTGAGACAGGAAACCAGGCTTGCTTCCCTCTAGGCCTTGAATACTTTTCACCTGCCATGTTTAGATTTTGCTTTACAGAATCATGAGTTAGGGCACTGGTTCACTTGAAGTAAAAAGGAATAACTGAATCTACCTGCATGTAGAAACATCTGAGCCACCTCCTATCTTGTTACTACCCTACTTAACCTCCAGTGATTCCTTGCTCGTAACCATGTGCAAACTCATTGATGTCCTCGGTATGCTGTCTCAGTTTCCCTTTTTGAGCTTTATCCCTTATTGCTTCCTTTGGGCCATTCTCCAGTTTCTAGCTTACATCTTAGGTGGCCTCCCTAAGTGAGGAAGAAAGTGACTCCTTGTCCCTGCCGTATTCACTACCTGAACTCATCTATCCAGTCTTTTTACAGTCATCTACAGAGATATTACTCATCCTTTGAGGGCCACTTAGAAGCTTCTTGGTTCACGAAGTTTTCCTCGTTCCTCCCAGAGATGTGAATGCTTCTCCCTCCAAACTTCCACAGCCCCGTGAATGACTATACCTCACTTCCTACTCTGGGCTACTGCCGATATGGCTATGTGGACTCTGGCCCATTGTTTTCCCAGAGCAAGGGTTGGGGCAAACTTACTCTATAATGGATCAGATAGTAAACACTTTAGGCTTTGCAGGTCGTATGATGTCTGCCACAACTACTCAACTTGGCAGCTGTATTGTGAAAGCAGCCATAATGCATGAGCATGACAGTGTTTCCATAAGATTTTATTAACAAAAACTGGTGGCAAGTTGGATGTGAACTGGAGGCCCCAGTGTACTGACCCTTGCCCCAGCTGAGGGTCCCTAAATGTTAGAAATTGTGTCTTCCTTATGCCTATATCCCTGCCGTGTTGTACGGCATCACAGGTGGCACTCAGAAATATTTGTGGAACTAAATAGAATTGTTAGTGGCTGGAATCAGAGATGCTTTTTAAAAGCTGTTGTTGAAACCTTGAGAACTCTGCAAACTCCTCTCTTTGTGCGTATTGTCTATACATGCAACTGAGCTGTCAGAACCTCCTGACCTATGGCTGGTTTTCCCATAAGCTTAGGTCTTTGCCTCAGAGCTTCAAAAGCAGGCTGACTTCTAAGGAGCCATAAAACACCCTATTTTGTCAACCCTTCTCTTCAAACTCGAGGAAACACCTGTCAGGTTTACAGTTATATAAAGTCATCTTAGGCCGGGATTCTGCGTATCCCACAAAGGAAGCTACACAAAGCCATCTCTGATTCAACAGAAATAGGAAAAAGCGGGTTCTAAGGAAATGTGGAAGCCCACAAGACATTTTCCTTTCACTGAGCCAGCTGGCTACTAACTGCATAGGTGAGCTGTCACAGAGAGTCACTCGCCAAACATGGGCTTCATTCATAAATTTAGTTGTGGGGTGGTATGTGGGGAAGATTTTCAGATGGTTCAATATCCACCACACAATTGACTCACAATGGCTCACCCAAGCATATTCCCCGGGTGCTAGGGAAACCGTCTTTATTTATCGGAGATATTTGATGCACTAAAACACTTCCAGGCCTGGCGTGGTGGCTCAAACTGTAATCCTAGCACTTTAGGAGGCCAAGGCAGGAGGATTGCTTGAGCCAAGAAGTTTGAGACCAGCCTAGACAATACAGTGAGATCTCGTCTCTACAAAAAATTAAAAAATTATCCAGGAGTAGTGGTGTGCTCTTGTAGTCCTAGCTACTCTGGAGGCTGGAGTGGGAGAATCACCTGAGCCTAGGAGGTCAAGGCTGTGGTGAGCCTTGATTGTGCCACGGCACTCCAGCCTGGGCAACAGAGTGAGACCCAACTTAAAAAAAAAAACAAAAAACAACAACAACCATATTTCATTCTCAAAGTTCCTGGGCATGCTCATTAGATTTCCCACCCTGCCTTCATACTTACTGTTAGTTCCTGTCCCAAGTCAATTCAGACTTTCTTTCTCTCTCTCTCTCTTTTTTTTTTTGAGTTGGAGTCTTACTCTGTCACCCAGGCGGGAGGGCAGTGGCACACTCACAGTCACCCCAGCGTCGACCTGGTGGGCTCTGATAATCCTTCTGCCTCAGCCTTCCGAGTAACTGGAACTCCAGGCATGTGCTACCATGCCCAGCTAATTTTTAAAATGTATTGTAGAGATGAGGTCTCACTAAGTTGCCCAGGCTGATCTCGAACACGTGGGCTTAGGCAATCCACTCACCTCAGCCTCCCAAAGAGCTGGAATTTAGCCTGAGCCACTGAGCCTGACCCAGACCTTCTTTCTAGTCTAAATCACTTGATATGATAGAGGTGATCTGTGTACCACTGACTAGGAGTCATCAGTCAATTAATTACATTGCGGTACAATTAATTACATTGATGTAATTTATTGGCAAAAATTTTATTTTTAAAATGTTCTCTAGAAATACATAATGACCAGCAACTAGAGCATTTTCAGTAGTTACTTATGTATTTTCATAAGTTTCTTTCTGTATGGAATCTTGGCTAATAATCAGAGTGGACGAAAAGACATGATATTTAAACACAAGTAAATTAAGGACCAAGTTTGGAGCTCTAGTATAAAGGAAGCAGATATCAATTTTCTGTTCCCTGCCTCTCGAATGGCCAAGCTTTCAGCAGACACAGAGCCAACTCCCCTGCTCTGTGTGGAAGACTGCATACTGATTGCAAAGGTTGGAGGAAACCGTGTTGACAGAGTAAACCATAAAATGATGTTCTCTGCTGCCAAAGCATCCAGATTTTTCCATCCTTGACTAGCAAGAATGATTGACGCCTACAGCTTTCTACTCTCTGTCCCGTTTCCTTTATGCCATCAGCCCTCTCGCTGTGTCTTCCTAACCCCTCCTCTCTAGGATTTCTGCTTCTCAAAAAGAAACATCAGGTATGTTAAAGCTGCGACCTAAGAGGGCCTCTTGGGCAAGCCACTCCAACTGCCTTCTGCCGCGATCCTAATTGCACATCTGCAGCAAAGCTGCTACGGTATCCGTCTAGAAAACAAATCCATGTTTCTATAACCAGACCAGGGTCCCCACTCTGCTGCTATGGAAAGCATTCCATTCGATGCTCGTTATTATTAGAACAGACTCATGAAGATTATTTAAGACGACTGAAGGAAACTCTCGGTAAAAACTGTCCCCATTCACCCTACGTATGTCTCTTTCTTTCCGTTTAGCTACTTGTAAGTGTAGGAAATGCAATTCCTAATCAAACCACCCAGATAAGGACCTTTCAGGCCAGTGGCTCGGCCTGTTATGTGGTCTGCACTTAAGTCATCGTCTCTGGGAGAAACTGAGGCTCCTGCCTTGTGGACACACAATGAAGAAGGACGTGGGGATAAGACCGAAAAATGGGGTGGAGAGCACAGCAAGGGCTGCGTTCAGCAGGTCGCAGAGTTGATGTTATTACTCACATGTGTTGGGAAGCGTTGGGGTAGAGTTTGGAAAACTGTGGGGCCGAGTCCTCTGGGCCATGGGGCGCAGCGTGGCTGATCACCATCATAATGGGCCTATGGGGATACATTCTCTTAGACATTTTGAAGTAATTAATGCTCTCGTTAGTGATTAAGTCTGTGAAGTAGTCCTGAAACATACATTTGACACAAAACAAAAATTACAAAAGGTGACATTCATCAGATCACATTTGAATAACTGCTTTCCTCAGAAGCAGCTCGCTGCATGAAGAGATAAGGTCTCCAGCAGGAAGGAGAACCGTACCTCCCAAGGCAGCAAGACGACTTTACTAACAGTGAAAATCAGCTGCCAGTTATGTTCTAGGGTTGCTAGCTGGGTAACATGCAAAAAATGTATTTTAAATAGTAAAGCACAACTTAGCCATCAAGAAAGAAAAAAGTCAAGTAGTGTTTGCCCACGATAATGATTAATCTCGCAATACAAGTGCTAGAGCACTTGAAACACCGGATACACATTTGTCTCAGGTTTTGCTGATGTAATTCATTGGCAAAAATTTTAATTACTTCAAGGGCAGGAAACACCCACGCCCACTTCAAATTTACAGTTGCAGAACACACACACACACACACACACACACACACACAAATGCACAAACACAAGATAATAATTTTTCTTCAAATTAAAAATTCACTTGTGGGAAATACACAACAATCACTAATCAAAGCCATGGCCAAAATCCGGGAGCACAGGGAAAAATCTGCAACATTTGATCTATTAATTTACTTGAAACACTTGAATATAGGGAGCAGTTGATTTCCTGCAGATTATCCTGTGTTAATTGCACAACTAAAGCAATACAGCTGCTGGGATTAGAGCCTGACTTGCTAATAAAATGACTTAACCCACGGTCAGGGGGACTGATGCAAGTCTGTAAGGGGGAGGGAGGAAATGGAATAAAAAGGAAAGATGAAAACTTAAATTAAACCACCTGCTTCCTCTAAGTGTATATCATTGGCCTGGAGCTCTAGTATAAACTTGATTCAGAAAGTACCCAGGCAATGTTCACAATGTCAAAGACTTCCAGGCATGGCTAACCACATGTTGTGGATTTAAGGACCAGAACAGCTGCAAAAGCAGTGTCCGAGGGACAAAATCTGTGTCACATGTCACTGTTAGGACAAGTCCCCAGGCTATCCCCTTCTTCTTCCAAGGAGTGTCTGTTTCATTCCTTTCATCACACACAAAAAGATATATATTCTTTTCGGACACAGTTGTCTTTGACACTTAATCAACTGTGATAATGAGCAAGTTACTCTGATTTAGTATTTGGAAAGAATCTTGATTGCTTTGTTCTCCTTCGGACAACAGGGAAAGAAAGGTTAATTGCTTGAACAGGGAGGACGAAAAGCATCCCCACAGATAAAAATGGTAGCAGTGACAATTAGTGCACGTGGTCGACATCATTTGAGCACATGACCGTATCTACAGTTGGGGATACAACCCAAGGTGAGTGGTTGAGTCATTCTAGGTTGCTTTTTCCTAAGCTTTGAAAATAAGGATGTTCTCAAACTTGCCTCCGAGGTTCCTGCCAAGGCTGCTTTTATGAATCTGGAAGCCTATTCTCAATGCCTATGAATTCATTTGCATCCATTGTTTTCTGATGGGTGTGAACTAGCTGGACTGACTCCTTATCTCTTACCAGATTCCCTGTGCTCAAATCAGGCCATGCATGAAGACAGCAATGTGCCAAAGTTAAATCAAGCTCCCTCTTGCTGGTTTCTACCAAGTGCCTGTTGGGAGAGGTTGCTAGATACAGCATATTCTCTGCTTCTTTTATTTATTTTATTTTATTTTAGTTACAATATATCTGGTGTGTTTTAATTCTCTGTTTCTTTTAAATTAATGGAGCAAAAGATGGGTATGGCTAGAAGGGGATATTTTAGGTAAGTTAGTAGGCTAAATTCAAAGACTTTTCCCCTTCACTCTTATGATTTAAAAAAAAAATGTAAGTTAACTATCACAAGATCATTGTGAATTATTAAGTCAAATTTAGGATTCATTTGTCAGAGAACCATGGGATATGTCGATTTCAGCTTCTATGAAATGATTTGGAATTCCTAGGATTGACAGCCTTAGAGACTTCTGACACCATGGGGCAGATGTCCTTGTCACATATACTAAGTTTGGTCAGACAGGATTAAAAGCAAGAAATGTGGTTTCCCAACCTTTAATTATTGTATTTGCTTGCTTGTTTTCTTATACCAAAATCTGAAGCCACAGCCCCAAATACACTTTCACTCCAAAGAAAAGTAAAACAGTACAAGATGAACATTTGATTACATGAGCAAGTCCTCGGGTAGGGGTGTGAGCAAAAATTATCACAAGACAGCAGAGGATCTATGATTTTCTTGATGACACTTTCATCAAAGGCTGATTGCCTTTCATCCTAATGAAGGGGGGAAAATCACTATACAAAGGCAGTGTTCCTTGAGAGTCTTTTCTTGCCTGGAGTTTAAAATTACCTTAAAATTTCTCATGCTAACATTGTGAGAACACAGAAAGCCAATCTTGTGGATAGTCTAACTCACTGAAAATGGCTTTTCCCCATTATGTACAAAGTAAATTGATGCAGTGTAAAAGCGCCTGAAAATTACCTTTGCATAATCAAATCCATGCTTTTCTTTGATGCCATTTCGACAAACAGTGTAATTATAGAAACGAGAATTCTTGATTAACCCAAGCCATTCTCGCCACCCAGGAGGGATGTAGCTGCCATTATATTCATTGAGGTATTTTCCAAAAAAGGCTGCAATGGGAAAAAAGGAATTATTTTTCATACGAAATGATTAATTATAAATAAATGCACAAAAATGAAATGAGTTGAAAAAGGGATGGTAAAACAAAAGTTAACCTAGATAATAGTGAATGACAAAATAATATTAGTATAATACTCCAGTCCTTTGGCAAAGTGACATATGTACATTTTCCTTTTGAATAAATATAAGTAGCACCCAAATGCATGGATTATGGGTTAATAAAATCACCCAAATCATAAATATAAGTAGCACCCAAATGCATGGATTATGGGTTAATAAAATCACCAAAATCACAATACTCTGGGTGCGTTTTTTCGTTGTTTTTTTTTTTTGAGTTGGAGTCTCACTCTGTCGCCCAGACTGGAGTGCAGTGGCCGCTCCCGGCCACCGCAGCCTCGACCTGCTGGGCTCTGGCGATCCTTCCGCCTCAGCCTTCCAAGTATCTGGAATGACAGGCATGCGCTACCATGCCCGGCTAATTTTTTGATTTATTTTTGATTTATTATTTTTTGATTTATTGCCAAGTTGCCCAGGCGGGTCTCGAACCCGCTGGCTCAGGCAATCCACTCACCTCAGCCTCCCAAAGGCGCGGGATTACAGGCTGAGCCACGGAGCCACCTGGCTTTTTGTTTTTTTTTTTAAAGAGGTCTCACTCTGTCACCCAGGCTAGAGTGCTATGGCATGACCACGGTTCACCGCAGCCTCAATCTCTTGGGCTCAGACTTGACCTTCCGCCTCAGCCTCCTAAATAGCTGAGACTACAGGTGCATGCCACCATGTGCAGCTAATTTTTTGATTTTTGTTTTGTAAAGATGAGGTCTCGCCATGTTGCCCAGGCTAGTCTCAAACTCCTGGACTCAAGCAATTCTCCTGCCTAGGCCTTCCAAAGTGTTGGAATTACAGGTGTGAGCCACCATGTCTGGACTGGATGCATTTATTTGTTATGGTCCTACTGAAATAAAACCAGGATAAACCCCTTTGCTAAGTTGATGTAACAATCAGAGAAGTAGCTAGTGTGAGACTGGGCAAGTATTGGAGAACTGAGAGTTCAATCTTTGTGATAAACTTAGTTTTCTAACTTAGTGTTTGAGAGTTGCAAACTACAAAAACACTATTGAAAAGCTTGTCTTTGTTTTCACATATCCAGAGAGTACACATTTTCCAAACAAGGGAACTGTGGTGAACTCCATTTTAATGGAATAGGGTCAGAGTCTTTATATCACATGTTTTGCATTTATAGGTCTTTACATTATGTGTATTTTATGAATGTATATGTCAATTATTGATGATCAAAATTCTGCCAACATAGAGTTACTACATAGATTACTACGTTTCACAGAATTATAGTATAGTAGAAGTATAGGTATCACAAAAACACCACTGTTCATTAAAAAGTCCACTGACGGCAACCCTTTTGGGTCCCTCCTCTTCCACTGTGGGAGCTTTCCTGTCCTCTCAATAAATCCTGCCTTCTCACTTTCAAAAAAAAAAAGTCCACTGAAAGGACTTCATTTTTGTAACTTTGGTGTGTCTCATCCAAGACAGGTCACTATGTCACAGGGCTGATAGGGTCTTTCTGAGAGGGTGACAACAAATTTGGTTCTCTGCAAAAGATGATGACAGGTGAGGAGTAGGAGAGAGAAAAGGAAGTTAAGATTCTGGAGCAAAATCTGGAAGGGAAAAACTACAACTATCAGAAGGGTAGTCATCAATGTACTGGAACACTTTTGAGCGAGAAAAGGGGTGCTATTTGTAATTGTTATAATTACACTAGGACATCAGGTGTGAACAAGCACTATTCCGATTAATCTAAATCTTTAGTTACCCTATTAGCCACACACATAATAGTTTTGCCTTCCAGTATGAAGAACTAAAAAAAACTTATTCGTTATATGTATGTATGGGTATGTGTATATATGTATAGATGGGTGTGTACACACATACATCCCTATGCATACATACACACACTCCTGTATGCAAGTTTTAGTGTTTCTGATATTATAAAGCTGTAACCTTTTACTTCTGGAGAGACTATGTTCTCTGGCCAACCAGATGACTTCCATGTCAAAGCCACTTCCTAGCTTCACAAAGCAGGTTTTATGGGTGTCTTCACCTATAATTGGCATTGATTTTTTAAAGTTATTCAATGTCCATCATTTTGGTGTTTCTATGGGCTAGCTATTTGGCTTGCTTTCATCTTTGATATTCAACTACAGACAGTCCTCAACTTAGGATGGATCAACTAACAATTTTTTCCTTTACAGTGGTGCAAAAGCAATATGCATTCAGTACGGTATTCAATAAATCATATGAGATATTCAAGACTTTATTATAAAATAGGCTTTGTGCTACTAATGTCAGTGTTATGAGCACCTTTAAGGTAGGCTATGCTATGATGTTAGTTAGGTGCATTAAATGCATTTTCGACTTATGGTATTTTCTCTCTCTCTCTGTCTCTCCTTTCTTTTGAGTAGGAGTCTCACTCTTTTGCCCAGGCTGGAGTGCAGTGGTGGTACAAATCACTGTTCACCACAGCCTCAACCTCCTTGTCTCAGGAGATCCTTCCACCTCAGCCTCCTGAGTAGCTGGAACTAGAACTACAGGCACATCTCACCATGCCCGGCTAATTTTTGGTAGAGATGAGGTCTCGCTGTGCTGCCCAGGTTGGTCTTGGACTCCTGGGCTCAAGCAATTCTCTCACCTCGACCTCTTAAAGTACTGGGAATACAGGTGTGAGCCATTGTGCCAGGCCTGGTATTTTTAATTTATGGGCTTATCTGGACACGATCTCGCTGTAAATCGAGGAGTAGCTGTATCTGTAGAATATCCATCTGAATGTTCTACTTGCTCCTCAACGCAATTGTCCAACATGGAAGTAGCCATTTTCCCTTTCAGATCTACTTCACTCCTCAGATGTATCCTCTAAATGGCATAATCACCCTGCCTGTTAACCAGGCTTGGCCACCCAGAGGGATCTCAGAGCCTCCCGGGATCCCACCGGCTCCTGTGCTTCCTGTGCTGTGCTTCCTGTGCCAAGCAGCTGCCACCCCCTGCAGGATCTACCTTTGTAAGAGCACTCAAATCCTTCGCACTTTGCCCGGCGACTTGACACCACTCACAGATGTTCACAGTCTCATGACGGGCTTTCCCAGCCATGCAGGGTTTTTCCACGCTCAGGGCCACCAGTTAGTCTTCCTGAGGATCAACTCCAGGCAGGGTACCTTCTTCTCACAATCTTGGATGACCCTCATTGTCTGCAGAATCAAGTTAATCTGCTAGCTCGCCATGTAAGGCCTACTTTGGGTCTGAGCAAAATCTCTCTCTTTCCAATCCCAACTCTCATTTCTCTCCTGATTGTCTCTCTCTGCAGCTACAGTTTCCTCTGTTTGTTCTGTACTCTTCATTTGCCTATGTATCAAGGCCAGAGCAGACACTATTGCGCTCACAGTATCTGTCTCAGTCACACAGCACCCTTTTTTGGAGCTCTAGTGCCAACTTCCCTTTCTTCCTGTGGTACGTCATGTTCATAAATAATACCCCTTAGAGGGTAAGTTTTCTGAGGGCAAACATTGCCTCTGCCCAACGTCTGTAATACTGCTCTCCATCTTTGCACACAGAATAGGACCACATACTTTTTGTTTCTTGAACTGGAGTTCACAAACCCAAGGTTTTCTAGACTTTACACATTTTGAGGTTTCACTTGAATGTTAATTTGCAAAGGCTGATTTGGTCTTCTTAATATTTCCATAGAATACAGCTTTACAGTTTCTGAAGTTGCGATTTCTTGTGAGATTTTTTCTTTGAAAAGAGTCTGGACTGAAGTCTGAAAAACATGGCAATGTTTGTTTGTTAAATGAATGTTTATTTGTTGAGTCTGTGAGTGAGTGAATCCATCCAGTGGCCAGTCAACCAAATGCCCCTGCTTGAGGATCCCACCAGGGCCCCTGGGCAGGTCAGTGGGTATAGGCCAAAGTGTCTAAGATCTCACATCAGATGACTCAGGATTTCCCTCTGGGCTGTTTATGTGCAGTAGGAATTCTTCTAATGAGGGTTTCTTGTCTTTAGAGACTAACTGACCTTTGCACAGAGAACCACAACATGACATTCCTTTTCCAGCAAAATGTAACATGACTTAGAGCCACAGGCAGCAGACCAAGGCCACACCCCACTAACGTTAGTTAGTTCATAAGAGGACTGTTTCCAGCTCACTTAATAACCTTGGGCCCAGAACTTTCATACGGCTTCCTCCTCATCCCTGGAGGTTGATCTCACTTTTCTCTCCTTTTGTTTTCAAAGGAGTAAAAGAACATAGTGGATTAGAATATAAACCCTGGAACCAGCCTGTCTGGGTTCAAGTCCTGGCTTTGCTACTTGCTAGCCAACCATCACAGGCACGTTGCTTAACCTCTCTCTTCTCCAATTCTCCTTCTGTAACACCATCATGGTGACAATAATAATGGTGGCAGGATTGCTGTGAGGATTAAACGATCTAATGGAAAGCATTTAAAACAGTGCCTGACACAACACAGGCTTGTTAAGTGTGGCTACTGTTCGTATTATTATGATAGCATCACCATTGTCATTTTCCTTTTGACCCTGTCTTCTGATCTTAAATAATTTACCATTTTGCAGTGTAAGAAAATCTTGCTCTAGAGTTCTGCACTTGTGCATTTGAAAACATCTCTTGAGTGATTACAGACTTTCTTTCCCAATAGGATTTATTCTGTGGCAATCCCCCACCCCCAAAACAAAAAACAAAAGCCCTCTCCTCCACTTGGCTTATATTTTTCGGCTTAATTAGTTTAACATTTTTTTTCTGCTACTTTTAGTTTGTGTGTGTGTGTGTGTTTTTTTCCTCTCCACGCCAAGTCATTTCTGCCCTTCCGTCATTGTTTTACTTTTTAGGCTATTTTGTACTGTTTTCTACCCATTGCCATGGCTATTACGCTTTGCCTTAATCCTTGCCTTGTAACTGTTTCTTCAAGTCCCT